TGGTGACGGGCTTGGCTCCTTCTCTTTCTGGAGACAGAGAGAATAACATGGGAAAGGGAGGTGCAGTCAAGAGAAACTTGCTGGGCTTAAGACAAGGGTCCTGAGCACCTAAAGTCTCTTAAAAAATAATCAAAATTGGCTCTGGGAGAAATTCAGTCACACAGAAAAATAGGTGAGAGATTTTAAACATGAGTTAATGTCAAATGACACCAAATTGAGCTGGGAATAACAGGGCTAATAGGATGCCAAATGGTCTGGCACCAGCACTAGTCTTATTTAATGCCACTAACGTGCTAGAAGAGAGGTTAAATTACACCTGCGGCTACCACTAAAGTAGGAGGAGTCTCTCTCTAGCACAAATAATTACCAAAAGCAGACCTTAGGAAATTAAAAATATGGCCAGGAAAAAGAATGAATTGATTTGGAAATGGCCAAATTAAGAAAAAATAAGGAGGTGCTCAGCTTCCCCAGGAGGGAAACAGGTCGGGGCAGATGATCCACATCCAACGAGGCCAACACAGCCTGAAGGATCGGAGACAGATTTGGAAGCAAAGCAAGGGAACGGCGGGTGCCAAGCGCTGTCTGAAAACATGTTCTTTTCCCCAAACACCTCGCAGTACAAATACAAGGAACAAAGCAGACACAGACTGAAATAAAAGCGTACGAGGAGCGGAGATTGTCTCTTGGGGCAGGCAGCGGGTTTGGCACTGCGGCGGGGAGGTTTCTGGTAGCCGCAGAAGAGGAGCAATTCAACGTCTGTCGCCATGAAGGTGACACATTGAAGGACCAGTGCAAAGGTTACATCTGGCGTACCACAACCACGCACCTCCTCATCGCGTTTCTCGCTCTATACTTTACTCCCCAGACTCCAAGGCAGCCACAAGGCTTTTTTTATCAGCTTCTGTTTTTCAGTATCTCTGCTTACATGCAGACCTCAAAATACAAGGCTGTTTTCAAGAGGCCAGCTTCATGACTGCCACCGATGATGTAAAATCATTCACCTCTTCCTATTTACAGTCTTTTTCTCTCCTTCTCTTGTAAATGGGTATACGTGGATCGCGGTAGCCTCGTTTTTCCGCAGCCTTTGCGCAGGGAACTCTCAATATTGAGTTGTTCGTTCAGAGAAAGCTACCTGAAATCTGCTATTTCTGATGTAAAGGTCAAGGAGAGAAAAAGAAAAGGCTTAAAAAAAAAAATCCTGACAAAATACACCACCAGAAAAAATGAACGAGGAAGAAATGGGGATGAGCAGAGCCACAAACGCCAGCAGAACAAGCCCAGCTCCTGTACGGCATCACTGTGAACGTGGTGAAGGAGGCAGGAAGGACAGAAGCCGAAAGCAAACGAGCCTGGGTCACGTTCCTCTTTTGCAGTCCTCTGCTAACCCCTGTTTTTTCAGTCTGAGAACTTACACCGAGGCAGCATATTTTAAAATATGCCCAAAGAACACGTTGTCAGAAGTTTCATGAACGAATAAACATAAAGAAGGCGAAGGCCGAGAGCGTGAATATTTAATTCTTGACTGACTCCAGCGATCCAGCCTGTTTTCCGCTGGCGCCTGCGGAGCGCTCTGCCTCGTGGCCACGCGGCCGGCGGGAGCAGAGCGGGGGTACCCAAACCCATATCAGCGGGGCTGGATCTCCTCCGGGCCCCGCTTCTCAGGACACGGCCCCTGGTTCTGCAGCAGGCAAAAGCCAGCTTAGCTTTCGGGCCTGCGAGAAACTTCCTCGGTTTTGACTGGGTTTCAATACCGCATTGTTCGCCCTTTAATCAAAATTCAAGGGAAACGTAAACCATGTTATTAAAGCATTCAAAAATTCTGATTTGGTGCCACAGATGCAAGAAGGTTTTCCCTAAAATGAAAAGTCTGTTTACAAGTTGATTCTTCCAAATCTGGTAACAACCCACAGAAGCATCCGCTGCCTGGGAAGTCAGTGGGAGCCTTCCCATCGACTCCAGCAAGGTTGGGTTGAGCCCACATTGAACGAATCCACAGTTTTTCTATTGTAGAGAGCAATGAATTATCTGGAAATCACATTTACCCATCAGTTCTTCCCTCCTTGTGATATCACATCCCTTCCACTCCCCCCCCCCCCAGAAGCCGCGTGGATGCAGTCTACACCCGATCGTGTCTAACAGCAGAACACAAAAGGCCTTTCTTTATCTCCAAACCTCCAAGCAGTTCTAAATTTACGGTCTGCAGCATACACAAATCAGGGCGGGAAGCGTCTGCGCGTATCTGAAATCACATAAAGCCTGACATTCAGAAAAGCATTGGCCTGCTGGCACACACAAATCAGCTACTAGAAAATAGAAGAGCAAGGAGAGAGATATAAAGAATCAATAAGCACAGGCTCTGATGTGCAAACAATTGCCACGGAACGGGGACCTTGCTTGGCAGGGACAGAGAGGAGCAGCACACACCGCTCCGTGTGCTTCGACTACAGCGTGCGTGTGATTATTTTCTGAAAGGAGAGGTGGAGGGAGAAAGCCTTGTGTAATGCTGCTCTGATTTTTTCTCCGTGTACGAGTTTGCAGTACGACATTAGCTGTGCTGAGCTCACCGGCCGGTGGATTGTGCCAAGAAAAGCAGCAATTTTCCCCGTGCAGCGAAGAGAGAGATTCAGAGCAGTATGGAAGCACTGAGCATGAAACAAACAGAACAAACCTCAGGAAAACAACACAACTTCTTTTTCTTTTCCTGCCTTTAATCTTTCAGGCTTCTGGTGTTTGTGAGATGGAGACTGGCACTCTGGCACAGGGTCAGCAGGTACTGGGGACAACCAGGCTTCCTTCAGACGGCGGGTCCCTTGGCTCAGCAGAGTCACCCGTGCGATGCCCGGGGCAGCTCGAGCCAGTCCCTCTCTCTCCAGCTCTATGAGGCAGAAAAATTGCCCTGTGCCTCTTACCATCTCTGTCTTGAAATCCTCACGTCCCAGCACACCGTCCCTGCTGCCTCTCACCACAGCCTTGCGCTAACGAACAAGCGTGCGCTAACGAACAAGCGTGCGCTGACGTCCCTGGGAGACGGCCGTGCAGCCCGGCCGCGTGTGCAGGCAGAGCGGCTGCGAGGTGGCCAGCCCAGAGGATCACCGGACACTCCGGGAGAGAAGGGTGGTCTGCAGGGAGATTCCAGCAGCAGCTCTCACTTCTTGCTGTCCTGAGAAACAGTCAGCCATCTCCCCAGGGTGCTCCTTGTCCCTAGTGCCCCAGTGACCCTCTCACACGGCAGGGTCCAAACCCCATTTCCCTGCTAAGGGCCTAAGAGAGAGATTAAGGCCCTGATTGATCCAAACCTCCAAGTTCAGCATTTTCATTCTGTGTCCAAAAGAGTCAGCAGAGAGAAACAGGAGCCTGCGGCAGACAGCTAAGCTCAGAAGTGGTTGCATTCCCTCCACAAACGTCTCCCTCTTTCTCCTCTGTCTATAAAGGGAACCCTGGTGACCCCCATGCTCGGGGTTTTGTGCCAAAGCAACTTGAGGGATGGGAAGGCATCTGTCCCAGCCCAAATCCCAGCCCTCCACCAAACCGTCCACCCTCTTCGTTCTACCAGACTTAACAGATTTAAGTGACTTTAAGGGGCCAAAGGAGCAAAGCTGAAGGCTTAACCCTAAACTGCCCAGGGGTGATCAAGGGAGAAACATCACTTCACAATACAGAGAGGGGATCAGAGCAGATTACCCCTCGATCCTCAGCCATCCAGCACCACTTCAGGGCGCTGAGAGAACATTAGGGAGTTTAACATCCATCGAGTCCCAACTGACACAAAGAATAGGGAAAAGCCCATGGGATTGCACTGGAAGAAGCAAAAAAGGCATGATGTGATTGCAGGGAGTTGGGTCATTTAGGGAGGAAAAAAAAAAAACCAAACCACACACCAGGAAGGAAATCCTGAGTGATGAAGTAAAATCCCACAGCCTGAGGAGTTTGAGTTTCAAACATGTCCCATTCATGACTAGCACAGAGATACATCTGAAATCCAATGGCTCCCTTTTCAACTTATTTTACTGGTGAACACCCTAGAAAATATAAAATACTAACTCCAAATGCCTCTCCCAGGAACAGCTGAGGTCCCAGGATGTCCCATCCTTTTCTAAGGCCTAGTACAGCAGGAAGGCTGGAGGAGCTCGGAGGTGATGTGTGCGCCTGTGTACACGGTGGGATGAAAGAGATGTAGGATCTCATTTGTTTTTTTTGCTGCAAGAGGTCTGCAGTAAAACTGTGGGACTCTGGACCGGTGCAGCCTCCGAAGGGCCCAGCCAAACCACAGAGCATCCTTTAGAAACCAGTCTGACTACGGAGGGAGCTGGAGGTCACACCAAGTCAGGCTGCTGATAGATCAGCTCTGCTCTATCGCCGAGGGTGATCCCGCCGTTTCTGCCTGTTAGGGCACAGTCCTTGTGAATGCCGATGCTGCAGGAGGAAACCAGCACGCACCTGCTCCCACCGCAGCAAGCCTGGCCCCCTCTCACTGCGGCAGCCAAACACATTCCCTGCAGGCAGGCTAAGAGCACCTGGCGCAAAACATTACCTCCAAACATAATGGGTTTGGATGCAAGATGCAGGAAGAGGGCACGGGACCAGGATCTTTAATAGAAAACTCTTCCCTGCCAGCTCAGGGAGGTGAGAGTGACTTTCTTCACCTGCCAGGTCTGGGCTGCACTCCTAGATACCCACACCAACAACATCCCCAGGCTGTCTCAAGGGGGAGAAATCAGGTGCGGGGGCGTGCTAAGGCAGAAGGCAAGTACAACCCACTCCAGAAGCTGTAAGGTCGCATCTCTCTCTGCGCAACCACCCTGATCCCTCTAGGCTTACTATCCAAAACGTCCAAAGAACCCGCCCTGAAAAGCTGTGTCCAGAAATGCAACGCTCACCTCTCCACAGAGAGCCCTGCTCAGCTGGGGACGGAGGGACAGGACCAGCACCAGTTACGTGCCGACACGGCCCTGCAGCCACGGCGTGCGAAGCTCTACCTCCCACCCCGGGGTCGCTCTTACCTTTAAGCCAGTGCTCTCTGCTTCGGAGCCTTTATCCACACCGGTGATGTAGATGCCCAGGGAATATTCAGCCCCTCCTCGGATCATGAGGCCCAGGGATTTCCCTTCATTCAGGACCAGGTTCACCTGCAGAGGAGGCAGCGACAGCTCCAGCATTAGCAACTAAAAACATCAACTAAAAAAAAAGCAAGCTACAGGTTTCACTCCAGTTTATGGCAGACACGCTCGGGGGCCAGAGGAGCTGCTGTTAAGGTCTCTGGCTGCAGGCCAGGCTGCTCAGGACCACTGCACCTCCCCTGACACCAGCCCCAGGTGTCACAGGACACACAGTGACAAAGCAGCACCAAAGGGACCCTTCCGCTCCCGTTCTGCAATCCTCAACACGAGGAGGAGAGCGTGCAAGCGAAGGGAGAGGCAGGATACACGGCCGGCTGGAACACGGATAGCTGGACCCCCGCTGAGTCCCTCGGCCAGGCAGGGCAGCTCCTGCGGGACAGGGCAGGCAGCGGGCAATACGAGAAGGAAAGACCAGCTCTGGAGGACTGAGGTTCAGCTACATGAGGGGCAGTGCATGTGGCCTGGGAGGATTACAACCATAAACCAGAGGAGAAGTTGATCCGCGGCCGTTTTCAGCTCTCTCCTTTTACAGATGCGTCTCCGGGGTGGATGGTCGGCTGAGAGAAATCCCCAGAGCGCCACGGACACTGACAGCGCGGCGCCAGTCAGCACCGGCTGCGAATTTCCCCTCTGCCCACCCGTGTCCTGGGACCAATGTGTGATCACACAGCGGTTACCCACACCCATCCAGACTGGAGCCCAGCTCCGTTTCTCTGCCCTTCTTCCGTGCGGCGAGGGGCCGCTGCAGGCACTCCTCCCCTCGGGAAAGGGCACAGAGAACACGCAACAAGACAGAGGCTGCAGTGGGGAAGGACCCCAACACAGCCCAGGCTGGTCCTCACACCACGTCACCTCCGCCAACCCCGGCAGCCGCCACCGGAGTCTGTGCGGACGGCAGCTCCGCAGGACACCCCACCCAGCACCCCGCCTGCCCAAGGCGCAGGAGGCATTCAGGACTCCTCCGCAGAGCCATATGCCTTATTAGCTCTAATTAATAACACTAGGACAGATGTTCCATCTATCCTGCCCAGAACAGCCAGCACATACTCCACCAGATGCCGATAATATTTCCCACGAAGCCCTGACAGGCTGAAGTGCCACACCTGGACAGCTGTGTTCCCCACCGAACGCTGGCCGCGGGGCTGATTTTGCAATGTACGCCAGAGCTATCAGCCAGCTTCCCATCTGCCTTCTTCCAACCTCTCCTGCTCAGAGGGCCTGATGATATATGAAAGTCCAGGTGACAATTTAGAGTGAATGAGCAAGCCTGTGTTTAGCTCCCTCGAGGAGGCTCAATTTAAAATGGCCTTTGTTCACTCGCTGCATGATATTTTCTAAATGAATAAATCTGGGGTGGTTTTTTGTGGGGTTTTTTTGGGTTTTTTTTTTTTGCTTTTGCGGAGCGATTTAAGTCGATTCTGAAGAAAAGCAGACAGCAGGAGTAAAAACAAATGAAAAAAGCCAAAATGTGTTTCATGCTGATAGAAACGGACTGTTTGTGAATGGCTTTTATATTTGAAACTCTTCATCGAAGTCAAATCAAAAGCTTATGTATTTACCTGCATGGAAAAGTCATTTCCAGCTTGGAGTCCTAATTAACCTGCCTTTCTGAAGAACACAGCATCATGCAGGGAATTCAGCCCAGCCTTAGAGAGTCTGGTATTGAAAACCCATTTTCCTTCTTGGTGGTGGGGCAGCAGCAAGACAGAAACCAGCAGCAGGACATAAATCCACCTAAGGACTATACGCTGCAAAATTTCGTACTTCGAGGAACGGATGCCAGAACAGCTCCTACTTTCCTATACCGGCATTACAACTGGCTGGTAACTGCATTAATGCCTCCTCAGCTGCATGTGTTTTATGGACCTGTGAGCTAAAGGTGGGGTGATCCCACCGAGGCGGCAGGTTCTCAGCACGGCGCCGTTGCCCTCTGCTCCCCGCGCTCCAGAAACGGCTCTACCGTGGAAAGCCGGAGAGTGAGAACCGTAAGGCATTAACCACCCGTATCGGCATCTTTGTCTAGGGCTGTACAAAAGTGACGTTCCCTGGGTTAGTCCCTCCCCTGCTTTTAAGATGCACAAAGTGCTGGAAACGGTTTAAGGATTGAAGCATTACGAAGGAGCCATAAAGAGACTTTCACGCTTCAGGCTGGAGAGGAGAGCTGGGCATTGTACCCACCCAACAGAGCGCTGGCCTGTCAAAATCAAGGGCAGTTTAATTTTGTCTTCACATGAAAATGTTGCTCTGGACATGGAAGGATTACTTTATAGAACATTTCACTGAGGTTTTTTTAAAAACCAGAAAATATTCAACTTTCCTAAAGTCCTTCTGTGTTCTCCCCATTTGTCTAAGGACATTTAGAGTTTCCCTTCTACTGTAATTTCTTCACCACACCGTGGCCATACTTTTTAAAAATTCCCCAATGTTGGGAAAAATACAAGTAGCAGAACCACAGCCAAGTGCATGCAACCACAGATCAGGGTCAGGACAGGCTGGTAACGGCAACACTCCCTTCTCTAGGAGTCCCCAGACAACAAATATACCTGCCGGCACCTCACTGGAGTTAGCAACAGGAGGGGTAGCTCCGTATCAAGACATTTAGATTTCCCTTTAATGCCATCCCGAAAGCTGAGAAGCTGCTCTCCCCACCCCGCTATCATCAGATCGAGTAAAAGATACTCCCTCTCCCCATAAACCCGACGCGCTGCTGCGTGAGCTGGTTTGTTTACGCGCGTACCAGTCTTGAAGAAGCAGAAAGCAATGAATACGGCCTCGAGCAATAAAGGTCTGATGGACCTTCCTCCCCCCTCCAAAACACAAGCTGCCTGAAAAAAACCCAACCTAAGCACTACTTAAAAATACATCGCTGCTGGCAATCCCAGAAAGCTGGGTTGTCAAAGGCTTAATTGCATTTCTTAATCAACTAATACCTACGCCTCTCCAAATAAACCCTGCGGAAATCGCAAGAGAAACTCAGGCAGCCGGGAAAAGCACGGCAGCAGCAGCAGGGGCCAGAGGAAATAACCACAGTAAGCTTTCGGCTTATTGACGAACCGCAGATTTAGGGAATAGCTGAGAAATAAAGCGAGTGCTCGCAGGCAGGGGGCTCGGTTTGATCAGACTGCGGAGCGATGAGGGAGGCGGGAAGAGAAAGCGTTCAGGAGCCAAACCCAGAGATAAGCTGATTGCCAGGACGAAGCAAAGGCTGAGTCATTCCGTGCGAAGGACTTCGCCTGCAAAATAGCCTCCCCTGTTATCCCTGTTTCCCAACCATCTCGTGCCTCCAGGAGGCTGTCTCCAGTGACACACCGCAGGGACGGTGTCAGGTGGGGTTGGTTGGCATCGTCATGCCGGCTGCCCCAAGCACAGCCTTGTCCCACCCCCTGCCCTCCCGACCGAGGGCACCTCTCCCACGCCGTAAGCCCACGCTCCAGACGGGGCCGTGGGGTGGGAGGGAACCTGCGGGATGACAGTGAAGCACAGGCCAAGCTGTGTCCAAGGAGGGAGCTAAATATGTCCACTGTGACCAGGCTGTTGTTTCCAGTGGTCCCACCACCGTGACTTCATCCTGCCACGATGGAGAGCACCGGGCCCGGGCCCCCTGGGAACAGACCCCCGACACACCATTTCCCAGACCAAGCCCTTCTGCTTTTGCACTCGGGCAAGCAGGTTTGTACACATACAATTAACCCTTCCGTGCAAATCTTGACCTAGAAGAGGGCATTTTGGTTCCATTTCCATGTCACTTTTCCTCCCTCCTCCCCCTGTTCCGCTGCCAGGCGGAAGCTCAGCTGTCCTAACGCCATCCTAAAAGAGAGGCGGCGAGCCAGGCCGTGCCGTTATTCCGGGGGGGGGGGGGGAGGGCGG